TCTGAAATTTTACATATATATTAAATTTAAAATATAACTTGAATTGGATATTGACTTGATCGTCAGTAATAATTGTCACGAAGAATACGTATGAAGAACTTGGAGGAATTTAAATAAAAGATTATCTGAACATAAAAGGGACCTTTTACAAAACAACACTCTCAAGACGTTAATTGCTCACTGTAATGAGAATTTCCACAATTTTGATTAAAATAATGCTACTTTAATTAAAAACAATTTACTAAGACGAAACATATTAGACACGGAAAAGAAACTACAAAATCTCCTAAAGAAGATAGCGGCGGAGAGTGTGAAGAAAGGACTAAGCATAAACTGCAAGAAAACAGAATGCATGGTCATCCGTAAAAGGATGAGCCCGAAATGCGATTTGCTGGTCGGGAACACGAGAATCAAGCAGACGCTGAAGTTTAAATATATGGGAAGCGTTCTGACAGAGGACAGTAAGTGCGACACTGAGATCCGTAGATGTATTGGAATGGCGCCAAGGACACATTCCAAAAGCTGGGCAGAGTATTGCAAGACAGGAGGATTTCTTTGGTAACAAAGAAAAGAATACTAAACTGTTATGGGACATCTGTTCTTCTTTACGGCAGTGAATGCTGGACGATTTCCTCAAGGATGAGGAAGAGACTCGAGGCGACGGAGATGTGGTTCTACAGAAGGATGCTGAGGACTTCGTGGGCCGAGAGTGTAAGCAACGATGAGGTCTTAGAGAGGATGCAGACAAGGAGGACGCTCATGCTTAACATCAGGAAGAGGAAGCTCAAGTTTCTGGAATATATACTAAGGAAGGAGGGCCTGGAGAATCTGATACTCACAGGTCGAATAAAAGGAAAGAATGACAAGAGAAATCAGCGTGTGATATTCCTGGCGGTCTTGAGCAGGTGGATGACAGAACGTGGTCTGGGGGAGGTGGCAGAGGGAAGGAACTTGTTGAGAGCTGCAAGGGATAGAGGGAGGTGGAGAACCATGATCGCCCACGTCCTGAAAGGACATGGCACATAAAAAGAAAGAAGACATGCATAGTAAAATTCCGTCCAGATTCTTATAATATTTCACCATTCTTGGTAGATATTCTATTATGACAACGCGGGAAATTTAATAATATTAGTGATGGAAACAAAATGAAAAAAATAAATTAAATTTTTCATTTCATATAGGCCTTTCTTTCTTTCTTTCTTTTAATTCCATAAACTCCTTTCTTTCTCATTTTTCTTTCTCATAATTCCATATATGCTTTTCTTGCCCTCTTTCTTTTTTGCTTATGATTTCCTATACGCCTCTCTTTTTTCTTTTTCCCTTCTTTTTTTCTTTCTTTCTTTCTATCGTGTTTTTTTTACCATTATTTCTTTGTGTGTTTTCTTTCTTTCTTTCTTTCTTTCTTTCTTTCTTTCTTTTAATTCCATAAACTCCTTTCTTTCTCATTTTTCTTTCTCATAATTCCATATATGCTTTTCTTGCTCTCTTTCTTTTATGCTTATGCTTTCCGATACGCCTCTCTTTTTTCTTTTTCCCTTCTTTTTTTCTTTCTTTCTTTCTGTCTTTCTGTCTTTACTGTGCCTTCTCTTTTTCTTTCAATCTTTGTGACGTTATCTCTCTCTCTTTTCATTCTTCCTTTGCTACTTTTTCACTCTCTCTCTCTTTCTCTCTCTCTCTCTCTTTTGCAGGAACGTTTTTTGGATTTCTTTTTGTCCTTTTCTTTCCATTTATCATGCTTTTAGCTTTTCTTATTTTCTCTCTTTGTAAAGCTCGCTTGACTTTTCGTTCTTTCTTTCTTTCAATTTCTCTTTCTTCGCCACGTTTTCTCTCTATTTCATTGTCACTCCGCCTATCTTCTTTTCTTTCTTTCTTTCTTTCTTTCTTTCTTTCTTTCTTTCTTTACTACGCTTTCTCTCTAGTAGGCACGTTCCCTCTCTTCTTTCCTTTTTCCACGTTTAATTCTTTCTTTCTTTCTTTCTTTCTTTTAATTCCATATACTCCTTTCTTTCTTATTTTTCTTTCTCATAATTCCATATATGCTTTTCTTGATCTCTTTCTTCCTTGCTTATGATTTCTTATACACCTCTCTTTTTCTTTCTTTCTTTCTTTCTTTCTTTCTTTCTTTCTTTCTTTCTTTCTTTCTTATGATTCCATATATATTTTTCTTTCTTTCCTTCTTTTTTATTTCTTCCTTTCTTCCTTTATTTCTAATAATTCCATAAATGCTTTTCTTGTTCTCTTTCTTTCTCATCATTTCATATACGCCTCTCTTTTTCCTTTTTTCTTTCTTTCTGTCTTTCTTTCTTTGCGAATATACGCTTTTCTATCTTTCTTTCATTCTTCCTTCCTTCCTTTCTTTATTTCTTTCTTTCTCTCTTTCTTTCATAATTCCATATACGCCTTTCTTTCATTCTCATGATTCTATATACACCTTTTTTCTTACTTCTTTCTTTTCTTCTATCTTTCTTTCTTTCTTTCTTTCATAATTCTATATTTCTCCTTTCTTCTTTTTCTTTCTTTTCATGATTCTTTCTTTCTTTCTTTCTTTGATTCTTTTTTTTCTTTTTTTCTTTCGTTCGTTCTTTTACTTTCTTTTTTTCTTTTCTTTCTTTTTCTTTCTTTCTTTTCATAATTCCATATACCTTTCTTTCTTTCTTTTTTTTTCTATTCTTTCTTTCTTTCTCGTGATTCTATATACACCTTTTTTTCTTATTTCTTTCTTTCGTTCTATCTTTCTTTCTTTCTTTCTTTCTTTCTTTCTTTCTTTCTTTCATAATTCCATATACGCCTTTCTTTCTTTCTTTCATAATTCTATATACGCCTTTTTTCTTTTTTCTTTCTTTCGTTCTTTCTTTCTTTCTTTCTCATAATTCCATATACGTCTCTTTTTTCTTTCTCTCTATTTTTCTTTCTGTCTTTCTTTCACCTAATCCCATATACGCCTTCTTTCTTTCTTTCTTTCTTTCTTTCTTTCTTTCTTTCTTTCTTATACATTGATAGATGTCTTGCTTTCTTTTATCTTATTTTTGGCTTTCTCTCTCTTATATATATTTCCCTTTCCAACGCTTTTCCCTTGGGAGGTGGTGGGGGAGTCATATCTGATTTTTTTTCTTTCTTTCTTTCTTTCCAATTATGCAGCAACCGTACAGATGCCCATCAAGACGACACGTGCAACAACAGCGCAGAGAAATCTTCAAACTGATAATTACATTGAGGCAATTGATAATGATGAATAAATGACGGCAAAAGTTTTGCGTAAGAATTCAGCGTTTCTATGTCACGCCTAGCTGTATTTCTCTGATTGCAATCTGCGGTCAAAGTCTTTCGATTCCAAGCAAGTTTTCATAGTTGAGAAAGAAAGAAAGAAAGAAAGAAAAAGAAACAAACAAACAAACAAACAAACAAAACGTGTCCGGATTTGAAAAGAAATAGAAGGAAAGAAAGAAACAAACAAACAAACAAACAAACAAACAAAAATCCGATTTGATACAAAGAAAGAAAAAAAGAAAGAAAGAAAAAAGAAAGAAAGAAAGAAGAATCCGATTTGATCCACAAAAGAAAGAAAAAGAGAAAGAATGCAAATATTAGAAAGAAAGAAAGAAAGAAAGAAAGAAAGAATTATTAGAAAAAGAAAGAGAATAATCAAATACACCAACGTTGGATCCAGAAAAAAGATGCAAAAGAAGATGCAAAGCCAAAAAATAAAAAAGAAAGAAAGAAAAAAGAAAGAAAGAAAGATAGAAAGAACTGATTTGATCCAGAAAAAAGAAAGAAAGGAGTGTGATCACAAATATTAGAAAGAAAGAAAAAAAGAAAAAGAAAGAATCCGATTTGATCCACAAAAGAAAGAAAGGAGATTGTGCAAATTGCAAATATTAGAAAGAAAAAAGAAAGAAAGAAAGATAGAAAGAATCCGATTTGATCCACAAAAGAAAGAAAGAAGTGTATGCAAATATTAGAAAGAAAGAAAGAAAGAAAGAAAGAAAGAAAGAAAGAATCCGATTTGATCCACAAAAGAAAGAAAGGAGTGTATGCAAATATTAGAAAGAAAGAAAGAAAGAAAGAATGAAAGAAAGAATCCGATTTGATCCACAAAAGAAAGAAAGGAGTGTATGCAAATATTAGAAAGAAAGAAAGAAAGAAAGAAAGAAAGATAGAAAGAAAGAATCCGATTTGATCCACAAAAGAAAGAAAGGAGTGTATGCAAATATTAGAAAGAAAGAAAGAAAGAATTAAAAGAAAGAAAGAACTGATTTAATCCACAAAAGAAAGAAAGGAGTGTATGCAAATATTAGAAAGAAAAAAGAAAGAAAGAATGAAAGAAAGAATCCGATTTGATCCACAAAAGAAAGAAAGGAGTGTATGCAAATATTAGAAAGAAAGAAAGAAGAAAGAAAGAAAAGATAGAAAGAAAGAATCCGATTTGATCCACAAAAGAAAGAAAGGAGTGTATGCAAATATTAGAAAGAAAGAAAGAAAGAAAGAAAGAAAGAAAGAAAGAATCCGATTTGATCCACAAAAGAAAGAAAGGAGTGTATGCAAATATTAGAAAGAAAGAAAGAAAGAAAGAAAGAAAGAAAGAAAGAAAGAATCCGATTTGATCCACAAAAGAAAGAAAGGAGTGTATGCAAATATTAGAAAGAAAGAAAGAAAGAAAGAAAGAATCCGATTTGATCCAAAAAAAGAAAAAAGGAGTCATGCAAATATTAGAAAGAAAGAAAAAGAAACAAAAGAAAGAAAGGAGTGTATGAAATAAAAGAAAGAAAAGTATGCAAAAAGAAAAAAAAAGAAAGAAAGAAAAAGGAAGAAAGAACTGATTTGATCCACAAAAGAAAGAAAAAGGAATCCGATTTATCCAAATATTAGAAAGAAAGAAAGAAAGAAAGAAAGAATCCGATTTGATCCACAAAAGAAAGAAAGGAGTGTATGCAAATATTAGAAAGAAAGAAAGAAAGAAAGAATACGATTTGATCCACAAAAGAAAAAAGAAAGAAAGGCGTTTATGTAATTATTAGAAAGAAAGAAAAAAATACGATTTCATCCTCCAAAAGAAAGAAAGGCGTGTATATAATTATTACAAAGAAACAAAGAAAGAGTGAAAGAAAGCAAGAAAGAAAGAAAGAAAGAAAGAAAGAAAGAGAGGAAGAAGTTCCATATGGAAAAGAAGCCCTACCCTCGACAAACTATCACACGCCACGCTTTCACTCATCTATCATTCTGACGCAATCTTAAAAAACCAAATCTTTCAGAATCTTCCAAATATCCAAATCATTCCAGTGCCTAATTATGCTTCCTATATAAATTTACCATTCTTTCTGCGACTGGAATTCTTCTCTTTAGAGTTTCTTGAAAGACCTTTGGCGTCGATTATTATTTAACTCATCTACAGACATTTTGCTAGTTTGTCGTGATTCTAAAATGGACGCCATTCACTGTTGATGCTGTTTACACGATATGACTATTCTACATACTCTGTAGCTAAATACCGCATCACAGATACCCAATTTGTTTGATACCAGCATGCCATGCTTAATGAACCATACCACCATGGTTTCCTCACAGAGAGCTTATAATAGTGCTAGTTTCTCATACACTTGATATCACAGAGTTGAAACCTTCATGAAGGATTACTCTGGTGCCGCTTCGCCAGAGAAAGTTTATCGTAGAGCAATGATGAACTATTTTTTTATCGCAACAAATTTCTTTCGATTAACCGCATTACTTAGTAAGATTACTTCGCTTCTAATGGCGATTTTCTAAGCGTAGCTTAGATGTTGATTTTATTCTTTTAAGCATTTCACTCCAAGTAAGTCTGGGTGCCACTAGCACGCAAAGGGTTACAGAGAGTTGGAGCGAGAGCAAAGAGTGAGAGAGGAAAGGATGAAGAGAAGGATAGGGAAAACATCAAGGCATCTGGAGATGTCGATTGACATTATATTTGAATAGTTGGAGATTATAGCTATCAGAGAAACAAATATTGGGAAGGGAATTCTACAGACGGGAAGTGCGAGACATGAAGCTATTGGAGTAGAAGAGACGGCTACATTTAACTATTTCGACAGTGAAAGGGTGGGACCGAGATGCCAGTCTAGTAGCACGTTTAAATTCATTCAGTCTGGGAACCAGCGAAAGTAGCTCGTCGGAGCAGTTACGGTGAAAGTATTTGTAGAAAAGACAGAGGGAAGCGACGGTACGTCTGTAAGAGAGCGACCGTAGACGAGATGCCAGATCAGGGCCAGTCACATTGCATATCAGTCTCTGGATCTTGTCGAGGACATTAAGACGAACAGCGAGGGCAGCAGACCATATATGATAGCAATATTCCCTGCAAGGGCGAATGGTTGATTTATAGATTAAAAGGATGAACGCTAGGCGAGAAAACTTTCTGGCGCGACACAGGGAATCAACTTTCCTTGCGGTATTATGGCACAAAACGAGACAAGATTGCTAACCATTACACCAGGTGCCCAATCATTTTCATAGCGTATATTAGATGTGACACAAGGCCAAAAGTGTGGAGCACCCAGTGAGAATCGAACTCGCTATCTCAGTCGTAATTGTTCTACATTACTTCAAGGTGTCCTACTTCTATTTATGCAAATGTAAAAACAGTCTTAGTTTGTAATAGTATAAGTAACAAATAGGTATATCGTGTGTCGTGGCAATAACTGTAAGTAAAATGATGCACTAAAATAAGTAACCAAGTAATCGTTTTAAGTTATCTGAATATCGGTGCCAAATAAAACAAAGAAAAACACGATTTAGTCATTTTTTTCAAAGAGGAGATAACTTATTCAAGCCAGACATTCTTGATTGTATATATATATATAATTATTTATTTAAAAATTATAACATAAATATGTTAGAAAATCATTTTTTACTTTTAATTTTAATATCAAATTTTATTATATAATTGAATTCTTATTGGTTAGAATAAATTCTATTTTAGTATAAACACAACTTTAAAGCTTTTAATAGGTATTATAAGATTAAAGTTTTTGAATTTTCCTATACTTGTATTTTGATTAGTCATTCTAGTTTATGTAACAACGTTTTCTCCTTGCGAAGGATCGTTAATTAATTTGAAACTTTGAAAACCATTTATTCTACATTCAACATCATCACTTGATAAGACACAGAGTGTGTTGAAACAAAATGGCTATTTTTGTAGTGATTTTATAACATATTTATGTTATAATTTTTAAATAAATAATTACATCTGCTCTACTCTGTATTGAGCACTCTTTTAGAATAGTAATTGTTGGTTATTGTAACGTATTCCGTATACACCAATCATATACTTATATATATATATATATATATGTGTGTGTGTGTGTGTGTGTGTGTGTGTGTGTGTAAGCAAATATATGGATATAGATCCTACAGCATGAAGAAAAATATACAGAAAAAACATGTTTTTATGTTTTATGAATATGTCCTGATGATGGTCTAAAATAGACCGAAACGTCCGACGTTGACTTTATATTAACCTTAATACAGCATAATTGCATATTAAGATTTTTGTTTGTTTTTTTCTATATTTTTCTTCATATATATATATATATATATATATATATATATATATATATATATATATATATAATTAAAAATTTGAAATCTTATTCTCATTTTGTTATGCTTCGCATTACTTCTATGTATACAGAAGTTATTGAAGGTTATATTAAAGGGAAAGAAGCAATAAATTAGGCAAGCATTTATTTCGATTAAAAGTTACTTAGAACGGTTACTTCCCTACTTACACAAATGTAAAAAGTTTTAGTTGACAATAAGTGACAGATGGCTATAAAAAGGCGCTTATTTACCGCTTATTTGTTTAAATAATGCACGTGGCAATAATTAAAGTAAAATGATACCCTAAAATAAGTAACGAAGTAATTACTTTAAGTTCTCTGAATATTGGTACCTATGTGAAAATAAACAAAAAACACTGAATCCTATATATGATATTTGTCACCAACAATACTCTGGTCTTTGTCTATTAAAGCTGTGTGTGTGTGTGTGTGTGTGTGTGTGTCTCTCTCTCTCTCTCTCTCTCTCTCTCTCTCTCTCTCTCTCTCTCTCATCTTTGGAAGAGTATTTTTAAGTAGGAACTTAACCTTATCTATAAAATTAAAAAAAAACCCAAACCTTTTTGTTCCTCTCTTAGTTTCAAATTAACACTTCATTCATCATATAACCCCAATTTAATGTCATCTGGGTAATATCCGGGTTTAATTTGATAAAACCTCTTACCTTTAAGACTTCCGATCTCACCTGACCACTGTCTCGACTGAAACATAAAAATGTATAAATTCTGTATTCATTTTTCGACAGCTTTCACAGTTAAATTTCTAATTCCGACACGAGCTCAGTCTACATGCCGGGGTTGAATAAGACTGACGAAGTTTTCGTCGGTGGAAATAGATCTATTCTCCATATGAAGTAATTTGGCATTTCATTGTGTACTATATATATATATATACACACACACACACATATATATATATATATATATATATATATATATATATCCGATGAGAACGAAAGTAATATATAAATTCCAACGTTCACAGCATTAATCCAAAAGAGTGCTCGATACTGATAGTAGAGCTATAATTATTTATTTATTATAATTTTATCATATAAACAAAACCATTTTAATCACTACAAAGATGCAACTTCGTTTCAGTGCATTTCAACTGCACTTCAACGGGTGAGAATCGAAAATGTTTATGAACAATCCTGCTTGTAGGCTTTGATACCAATAGTAGAGCGATAATTGTTTATCCTACAAGCAGGATTGTTCAAAAAGAAAGAAAGAAAGAAAGAAAGAAAGAAAGAAAGAAAGAAAAACTGCTAAGTATTGACGACGCCGAAGATCCCTTGAAAACGCGCCACAATTGTTTGAGGATAGGATGTATGGTTGCCAGACGGAGGAACAAGCCAAGATGCGATCTTCAAATTGAAGATGCCAAAATCATACAAATACAGAAATGTAAATATCTGCGAATTGTTTTAACAGATGACAGAAAAATGAGGAATGGAAATACGAAGGCGTATTTGAATAGCAAAAGATGCCTTCGAAAAGCTAAGCAAAGTATTAAGAAACAGGAAAATTTCGTTAGAAACAAAGAAAACTTCTATATAATATTACTCCTCCTATATAGCAGTGAGCATTAGACAATCTCCTTCATGTCCCCGAAAACCTAAGCAAAGTATTAAGAAACAGGAAAATTTTTAAGAAAGAGGGAGCCATGATGGCCCACATCCGAAAGTGATACGGTATATTTAAAGATGGAGGGTGTCACTTGTATATCATAGCCTGGTTTCTCGAACAAATTATCTTCCATGTCTGGAGACTATCAGGTGGTTCGTGTGTTCTTTGCGGGTGAGGCATACCTTTCCAAAACAGTTATAGAAGAGGCTCCAATCTGACATAACTTTTTTCATTTTTTTTTTCTTTTTTTTTCAGCTTTGTTGAGATTGGGTTGGCGGAGAACCCTCAGGCCGGTATAGCAAAGCTTTAATGGGTCACATGAAAGTATGTCTTTTGAGGTGAATACTTTAATTCGTCATAGAATTCTCCCCTTCAAAAGCACTACTCAAAGGATTGAACTCCAGCTCCGTGTCTGGGCCATTTAGATTCGATGGAATAAAACATTTACGAAAAAAAACAAAACAAAAAAAACCCCCAAAAACAGAATAAATGCTAAAAACAAATGCCCCAAATAAGGCTTGTATCAATCGCGAGAATTTCATGCGTTCATTCGAGGAAATATTTTTCACACAAGGATGGGTGTACATAACGAACCTTCTGAAAAGTGACTTTTTTTTGTGGATTTTTTATTTTTTTATTTTTTTTGTGGCGGGTACAAAAAATAGATTCGGGCCGTTTTTTTTTGGAGTTTATAGTTTTTTTGTTTTTTTTTAAAGTGGGTACAAGAAGTAAAAAAGGTCTTTTGGGAATAATGGAGCTAATTTTTGGTAAATGATGCTGGAATTGCCAAAAAAGTGGGGAGAAAGAACGAAGAGGGAAAGAGAAGATAATAAAAGGAGCAGATAGATAGATAGATAGATAGATAGATAGATAGATAGATAGATAGATAGATAGATAGATCTGACAGAAATAGATAGATAGAAACATGAATAGAGATAGAGATAAACATAGATATGAATAGATGAGATAGATAGATAGATAGATAGATAGATAGATAGATAGATAGATCTGATAGATGATTGAGATAGATAGATAGATAGATAGATAGATAGATAGATAGATAGATAGATAGATAGATAGATAAACAGACAAACATCAACAGAATGAGATAGATAGATAGATAGATAGATAGATAGATAGATCTGTACTGATTGAAATAGATAGATAGATAGATAGATAGATAGATAGATAGATAGATAGATAAACATGAATAGAATTAGATAGATAGATAGATAGATAGATAGATAGATAGATAGATAGATAGATAAACATCAACAGAATGAGATAGATAGATAGATAGATAGATAGATAGATAGATAGATAGATAGATAGATCTGTACTGATTGAAATAGATAGATAGATAGATAAACAGTCAGAGAAACATGAATAGAATGAGATAGATAGATAGATAGATAGATAGATAGATAGATAGATAGATAGATAGACAAACATGAATAGAATGAGATAGATAGATAGATAGATAGATAGATAGATAGATAGATAGATAGATAGATTCCAATGTTAATGAAAATATAAGGAAAAAATATGGCCAGAAAAAAGTAGGATAAGTTGAAATCAGGAATTTGGTCGCCTTACATAACGTTCCCACATGGCTACAAATTAAAAAAAAAACCCACATCTACACGACTTCATTGGTGTTTATGCTGTTGAATATGTGAGCAAATTGACGACTCTATGAAACAAAGAAAGAAGGGCATTTCTTCAAAGAATGTATCTCTCTCTTAACATTAATAAATATCATTCGCTGCCAGTTTAACATTCCTTTTCGGCATAGGAACGCCTTACATATCTTTCTCGTCTGCTTCCTTCATTTTCTTTATTATCCCTACCCCAACCGACGCCATTTTCCAAATCCTTTCCCATATGTTCGGTTGAAATTCAAAAGAACCCTCACGTTTTTCACAGACGTAATACACACGATTTGACACATATATTTATATACCGTGCGTGTCCCTGTGTGTCTGTGTGTGTATGCGCGAGCGTTCGTGTGTCTTTCGACATATCCTTGTGTAGCGTCGTCGTTCGGAGTTTATCAAACCTCTCTCGCTAGACTTAGTGGTACACTAAGCAAGGTCCTCATTAGTTCTTTGCTAGGCTAAACCATACCTTTCTTGTCATAAAACCTTGCTTAACAAGTAACGAGGCACGAATTAAGGGCTAACAGGAAAAAAATCCCATCCAGGGGACAAACACGCAGTGGGCAAAAACCCTGTCTCGTGAATAAAATCCTCATATATAAAAAGAAACAAATTTAAAATTGAAAATTCAAGGGAGATTTAATTCAAATTTTAATGTCAAATCGAGACAATACACACAATCTCCAATATATACACTTTATATGTCCAATTTTAACTGATCTTAATTTAACCTGACCGCTGCTCTTGAAAAGGACCCCCAATCAGTGGTTAAGCAGGAAACGCTTGTAAACTTGAATGCCCCCAAAACAAAAATGCATTTATCTGATGGTAACCGTAGTTGTGTTTCATTTTTTTTTAAAACATTAAATAGCTCAGCAAGCCTGTTCTTCCAACTTGATATTGAGCACTTTTAATGCGTAGGAGCTTAAATATTTTACTGTTTGCTTATTCTGGCATATATATATATATATATATATATATAACGAACAAACAAGCAAGCAAGAGGAGGCACGCAGAGCCGAGTTCGAATTCCAGTCGAATCCATTACATTCACTTACGTGCTAATACTCTTGGGAAAGGTATGAATCCTCTTCTTCTCCCTCCAGCTATGGGTAAAATAGCAGGACAGACTGGGTTCTATAGCCTTGGATGGCAACTGGTCTAGGAGAAGGACAACTCTGAATTCAAAACCTGCAGATGGTCGTTTGGGAACCTTGTGGCATTCGGTGCACCAGGTTTCTGTATTCGTCCCTTCAAAAAGTGTGGATGGTCCTGCACGAAACCTTCACCACTATAATCAAATCTCATGTTCCGGTATCGGGCTGTCGGTTTCCTGGAAACTGATCTGCTTGACCCTCATACATCAAATCTCGACGGGAGAGTCGATTATACAAGCAGAACGATTATATAAAATACTTGTGCCTCATTATATAACCATATATATATATAATCTCTGCGGTAATATATATATATATATATATATATATATATATATATATATATATAATAATAATAATCTTATAAGAAAGTATACCCGTCCGGCAAAAAAAAAAACCTTAGGTGTATTGGCTTGTAAATGAACAAACCAATGCCCAAGGAAAAATAAGGGATAAAAAAAAAAGAAGAAAGAACTAAGAACATGTAATTGAGGCGAAAATAATCGTCCAGAATCCAAGCTTAGAGTCCAAAGAAAAAACCTCCAACACGAGTTAAGCAAAAGCTCAATACACTAAGTAGAGCAAATCTAACTATGAACGTAAAGAGCCAGGCAAACCTACCTAGGTTACACATACGCGGATCGTCAGGGTACAATGGCCAGCGTACCCTGACGATCGTATGTGTAACCTAGGTAGGTTCATAATATTTATTTATATATATATATATATATATATATATATATATATATATATATATATATATATATATATATAATAAAAAGGCTTAAACACTAATATTCCATGGTCATAATTTATTCTATTCGAGTCGTAAATACGATCCAATTAATCAGGCCTAATTGAATAAGGAATGGAATAAAATATGACCCTGGTAATATTAGTGTTTAAGCCTTTTTATATATATATATTATATATATATATATATATATATATATATATATATATATATACACACACATATATATATATATATATATATATATATAGATATATAGAGAGAGAGAGAGAGAGAGATTAAAAAAGGCTTAAATATTAGTGTTTAAGCCTTTTTATTATATCCTTACTCTGTCCTGGATAGATATTAGCAGAATTAGATAGATAGAGAGATATATACGAACAGAGATAGATAGAAAGATAGATAGATACATACATACATACATACATACATACATACATACGAACAGAGATAGATAGATAGATAGATAGATAGATAGATAGATAGATAGATAGATAGATACGAACAGATGCATGTTCTACCTGGATTCTATCCTCTTGGAATTTTTTTATACAATATATATATGTATGTGTATGCATGTATGTATATATATTTATATATTTTGCATATGTATGTATATTTACCACTAATATTATCTATCTCTCTCTCTCTCTCTCTATATATATATATATATATATATATATATATATATAAGTCAACATTGAAGTCAACACTCGTGCGAGGTGCGAGGGGGCTTCATGCTGGACGCAATCGTCAGGCCGCCTGACGATTGCATCCAACATGAAACAGGCTGTCGCCTATGAGTGTTGACTTCAATGTTCACTTTTATATTTACATTTACACACGCTCTATCTCTGATATTGAGCACTTTATCCCATAAATATAGCACACCTTAAAACTATATTTCTTCATATATATATATATATATATATATATATATATATGGTCATTCACAGGCAGGCTGTTTCGCTGTTTCACAGCTCATCAGTGTAGCTAGATATGCGATTGCCTCAAACCAAGATCGAAAACCGCCGGATTTTACTCCTAATTCATTGATGAAGGTGAATTTTGTCATATTTATTTTTAGACAAACTCGTCATTTACCGGAGAATTCGATATATATGAGCCATGTTTTTGAAAACAAAAAAAATTAAGCCTCGCGATAGCTGTCGTGTGGTGGAATTCAATACCACACATCTCTGTACTTTCATGTCAGATGCTATTTTACCATACTGCCAATACTGAACAAAGCCAAATTGGAAGTGGGATGTTCAACGTCCACCTTTAAATTATGAATGAGGAAAGAATGCATGGAAAATTTGATACTAACAGGACATCTTGAAGCAAGTGGAAACAGAATGTAACCTCCTTGGTGAAATGTGAAAAGGGCGAGATTTAGATAGATGGGAAGTTGTGGAGAGCCATTATTGGTCAAAATATATGGGAAGATCTGTACAGGGAAGAAGACTTTTTTCGTTTTTTTTTTGTTGTTTTTTTTTTTTGTTTTTTCCAAACAATTTTTTTTTAATCTTTTCTTGGTGGTTCAATTCCAGGTAAAGCCAAGAATGGAACGCTGATTTCATCGGCAGGCAGACTCTCAAAAGTTGTGGGTCAATCGTTTTCTATTCTTATCTTCACGTTCCGCACTTCCAAACACTCAGTTTCACTCATATCACATCAGTTTCATAATAACCATTTTAAAAGTAACCCTCAAGCCGGAGTGGACCCTTTCATTGTGCGAAATCTAGTATAAAAATATAGCTAAAAATGTTTGACTCATGATGAAATAATCTGGGAGAGTATTCACACTTCCAGAAATAGAAAGAGAGAAAAAAAATTATACAATGAAGACGCCTCCCAAGTTTCCGCATTAAACAGAATAAATAAGATTATTTTTTTTCATTCAATTGTCAATAGTCGTCTGCCATATTGTAAAGTCGGGAAATTCTGAGGACTTATCAAGCCAATATTACACAAATATGATGAAAACTATTGTTCAGTCGGTAGGGGCGACGCCGGGACTTTTTTTTTTCTTTTTGTGAAGAGTGATTTTACTTTTAGAATAATTCGAAGTTTTAAAATAGACAGGTGGAAATTATAGTCAACTGTCGATGCGTACAAGTCTCAAAAAGTGCGTTCGTTTGAAAAGAAGAAAACTCATATTGCGCAAATTATAGACCTACGTCTAGGTACGTCCGTAGAATGATGAATTCAGAAAATGATTTCATAAATAGATAGATAGATAGATAGATAGATAGATAGATAGATAGATAGATAGATAGATAGATAGATACGAACAGAGATAGATAGATAGATAGATAGATAGATAGATAGATAGATAGATAGATAGATACGAACAGCGATAGATAGATAGATAGATAGATAGATAGATAGATAGATAGATATGAACAGAATGAGATAGATAGATAGATAGATACGAACAGAGATAGATAGATACATACATACATACATACGAACAGAGATAGATAGATAGATAGATAGATAGATAGATAGATAGATACGAACAGAGATAGATAGATAGATAGATAGATACGAACAGAGATAGATAGAAAGATAGATACATACATACATACATACATAAGAACAGAGATAGATAGATAGATAGATAGATAGATAGA